AGCACTAGAACAAAAACTAATTGGACAATTGGAGAAGTCACATGCAGAAGAATAATCTCCCAAAACAGTTTTGAAAATAGAGTTCCAAGGCGATCAAAAATCGCAGGGAAATGAGCAGTAACACGGGCGTGAGCAAGCTAGTGATTTTTTTTGGAGGTGGAAGAAAGTGGCGGACTACTGGAATAAGTGAGTGGGTCCCTATGGGACCCACAAGTCTGCTGGGTGCACCCCCTGGGGTGTGTTCAGTGCCAAAAATTCTAAAATATTCTAAAAAATCATATTAAATATTCTCTTTGGTCCTTCCTCTCGCGTGGCAGCTTCCCTCATGTTTGCATCAAACCATCATTAGTTAACATTTTTTTGCTTAGTGTGGGTGTATATTGTATCACAGAATAAACATAATTGAATGCTGAAACTAAATAACAGACATATATTGATTCTATCATGATTTGATGTGGCAATATATGTTGATAGCAGGTACATATTTTTTTTAAAGGTGGTACAACTTCTAACCTTTCTATCAATTGATACACACTGCAAATTATTTGATTACTATTTTTTCACATGAATGTGCCTTCTGCACAAAAAGGAGTACCAAAATATGAGTTGACACAACCCATGCATGCGCCACAGATTCTCTTATATATTATTTTTCTCGTACGGAGTGATTCTTAACACTGGAACGTAATAAGCTTCAGATATGCATGAATCACTCCTCGCCCTACATGACCTTAGAAACTAACACAACCTCAACTAATTAAGCTCATCCGTGCAGCTCTACTGAGTAAGGTAAAGTTAGTTGAACTATTTATATGAAAATGGATGTCCTAGCTAAAGTTAGTTGAACTATTTATGTAATCATAAATTTAGCTTTATTAAAATGCAAGATCATTTCTTCTTTTTAGAATTTAATATCTTATACCTGTTCAATGTTGGTTGGGGTTATAAATGGGAAATTGGCATGCTACTACAGAGTGCATGGGCTATAGATGAGAGTGTTATGGTGTTGCTAAAAGGAGGGCGCAAGAGGGTCGGCCGAGGGCCTTTTCCCCACGGCCGGGCAAGATGGAAGGGATTTCCTTCTTAATTCTTGCTTGATTAGATTGATACATCTCCTCTCTTTATATAGAGAGGTTAACTTGACTTCCATGTAAGGCTTACTTGACCCCTAAACAAGCGACCCTTATCTCTAATTAACCCTAAGACTAACGGGCTATACGCCAGCCCAGGCCATTAGGCCCATTACGTGATCTAACACTACACCCCATCTGGACATGCAGCTTGTCCTCGAGATGCAACCTAACCAACTTATAACCATGACTCGACGCAACACAAGCCTAACACCTAAAAACAAGCCTTTTACATCTTGGGTTGTTTTATTACTCTCAACCTGAAATAGACTGGGACGATTTATTTTGGACCTCTTAACAAAAAGTGGACACCATCCGCACGTCGGACGTGCACGTGTACAGCCACCTGGATCCCATGGACACCATCTGTACGAAAGGAGTGCATGGGTATGGCCACCTGAAAGTGGTCGCAAGAGCGACTAGCAGAGGCGCCCTCACGGCAGCCGGCGGAATGCAGTGGTGCTATGCGGTGCGCTCCTGTCGTCGACACCCTGCCTTCATCCCGCCGGACGGTTGTTGGTCTGCACCGCAGAGAGAACCGTGGAGGGCTTGCGATGGATAATGACGAGGAGGGGTGCGCCCCCCAATCGCCGATGTCTCAGACTTTGAGGTCGCTGCCCGCGGGGAAAACAGCATGCCCAAGATCCCTGACGCAGCGGACAACATCGAGGTCCTTTGCTCAGCGAAGCGCAGCTGGGAGGAGCGGCAGCTGCAGACCACGCATCTCCCGCACATGCTGCCACGCTAGGAGGCCGCGCGCAGCAGCCTGCAGCCTCACCGCCGCCGACACGTGGCGGGTAGTGATCCAAACCAGAAGCCGTGATGGCGATGGCGGGAACTTGATCTGCTGAATGGGGACGGCCTGGGGAAGCGGTAATGGCGACGGCAGGAACTTGATCTGGTGGATCGGGACTCTCGCCGGCGTGGTCGATGCGGGGCCGGAGCTTACCGGCGGTGGCTGCTGCAGCGGAGCGACGGCCGCAGCGGAGGCCGCCAGGAGCGGCGGTTGCCACTGTAGCTAGGGCGGGGCGGTGGTGGCGGTGGATGGCAGCTGCAGCGGCCTGGCGAGCGCGGTGGGGACGCCCTGGGGCAGCGGCAGAGGCTCCTGCGGCCGAGCACCGGGCGCGGCGGAGGCCGCCAGGAGCGGCGGCTGCCACTACAACCAGGGTGGGGCGGTGGATGGCAGCTGCAGCGGCCCCGCGAGCGCGGCGAAGGCCGCCTGGTGCAGCGGCTGCCATGGCAGCCACTGAGGCGCGGTTGCGGTGATGGGTGGCGCAGCCAGGTGCGGCCCGTAGGACCCGGCAAAGAACAGGAGGATCTCCTGGACCGCCTGGGTTAGGTCCTGCAGTGCCCTGGACACCTCCTCCGGGGTGAGGACGGCGGGGGCGGGCGCGGCAGAGGATCCCGGCACAGGCAGGAGCGGGGCGACGGTCGTGGTGGTTGTCGGAGGCGACGAGGTGACCGGCAGCGGAAGAGATGGGTTGGGCCGCGGTGAAGACATGATCGAACCGAAGCTAGCTGATACCAAATTGTTATGGTGCTGCTAGAAGGAGGGCGCCAGAGGGTCGGCCGGGGGCCTTTTGCCCACGGCCGGGCAAGATGAAAGGGATTTCCTTCTTAATTCTTGCTTGATTAGATTGATACATATCCTCTCTTTATATAGAGAGGTTTACTTGATTTTCAAGCAAGGCTTACTTGACCCCCAAGCAAGCGACCTTTATCTCTAATTAACCCTAAGACTAACGGGCTATACCGCCAGCTCAGGCCATTATGCCCATTACGTATTCTAACAAAGAGTTTATCACATATAGAAGACAAAAGTGAGCGTTTAAAAGTGAATCCCAAATTTTAACCTACCATCACCTCACGCGCCCCATCATCGCCCACCGAGGTGACTATCAATCTCTCCAGTCTCTTTCTTGTCTCTTCACTGCATTGATGTTCAAAGTGCAAATCTAGGCTGCCCAGTGCCATGCATAGCAATTTCCTGGAACATTCATCAATTGATGATATTGCTCACTCAGTGGTGTGTATCATGTTCTTGCTATGAATTGAACCGCATGTGCATGCACAGACCGTCATGCATTTTGGGCAGGGTTGGCAACATCCACCGTGACCCATCTTGGAATATACAAAATATCTCGCAAGTTATCACTGAGTTCTTCATGTCTCCCAAGCCCATGAATTGTTAACATTTTTTGTTCATCCAAATAAAGTACAAAATATTGATTATAATATGTCTCCAGCCCTTCCTTCCACCTTGCTTCTTCTCTCACTATAGATTCCCTGTTGCTTGCCTAAAGACGCCTTTTATAGCACTGTTTGGTTCAGTCTGACCGTATAATGTTTGAAAAAAATAAATGCAAGTGAATGTCGAACCTCAAATTAAAAATAGTAACTTCTATTCACTTTTTGTTCTATTGTTTTCCATATGGCAGTAAGAGCACATGATTGATTGCTTACTTTTTCTTAGTTTTCACACACGTTTCTATATAGGTTTTCTTTTCCTCCAAGATAATTTTGCAGGTCCAAAAAAGAATAAGTTATCATCAATAGTTGAAGCTTCACACAGTAGAATCAGTAGTCATATCATACACGACTTGAGAACTAACACAAACTTAGCCAACCTCATCAAGTTAACTATGTATGGGCTCGGTCTAAAACAAACTTGTTCTATCCCATGACACATAAATCTCATAGATACAACTTGGAATGCATGTACTAATATACATGCGCTTGTTCTATCCCAAAGAGGCTCCTGACAATGGCCACCTGTGGATCCACCAAACCATCGATAATTTACACTGGGGTGCGGCATTCCTCAAAAACATGCAACTTAAATCTTAAGCCTAGCTATGATACCAGGTGTAGGATATACTCCTATGTGCCACTTGTGCCCCTACGACAACTCAATTCAACTCACTCGAAGTTCATGATGGGAACAAGTGCGCACACAAACTAGATTCCTTTTAAGCCAATGCCTCTTTCTAGGGCATTTCTCTTTATTCATACATCAGCAATTATAAAAGTTGACGTCAAACGCGGAGTACCCTATCAGCTAGAAAATGCAAAAAATCAATTGCACTATCAGATTAAATAGTACTGATAAGTATGGACTTCTCGCAATAAAATGTGCAAATTGTGGACACATCAACTAATGGAAATACTCAGACAACTACATACATCAAAGAAACATTGATGATGAAGAGCATGACCGGAAATAAGAAGCTCGGTAGGTCAGATATTTTGTGTTGTCGATCGGGCATCCGAAGACAAATAGTTTCCGGTTTTCTCCATGTGAGGTTGATTGTGTAGGGTGATAGTTTTATAGGGCTTCGATGCCAGTGCCTAGTTCTATAGCCATTACTTGATGTGTCCTCATTTTGCACATTGCATCATCAACGTTGCATCCGATGGTTCACAGTGAATGGACGCACCTAAATTGGAGTTCAGTCACCTAACATCTAGCCGATATATCTAATGCAATCCAGACGCAAGATCTTCTTGCGAGTTCGCAAAAACATCTAGTCAATCCCTCTTCTATCACCATGGCATTAGATCCAAGAGTACCTTCAGTAATGCATCGTACTACCCCAGCATACTCACATGCTATAACAGTAGAACCAATACGGACATCTTGCTTTAGAGAAAGTGCTTCTTGGTAGGCCATTGCGTCCAAAATGTTGCGCCCACCCTAGTAATCACATCGGGGACAAACCGACTAAGTCCCTGCCCACCACCCACTACCTCTGGACACCACCACCAGCTCTCAGTCTCTCACACTCCATTATTTGGTTAGCTTGTGCCCAGCAGGCAGAAACGACACCAGAGCCTGTGTTTTACTTTGCTCCATCAACACGTTGCGAGCACATGGAAATCGAAGCAGCGGCTGCTGACTCCGGTGCCAGCGAGCTGGAGGTGGTGGTGTTCCCATGGCTGGCGTTCGGGCACATGATTCCGTACCTGGAGCTCTCCAAGCGCCTGGCTGCGAGGGGCAACGCCGTGAGCTTTGTCTCCACGCCACGGAACCTCGCCAGGCTCCCGCCCGTGCCGGTGCAGCTGTCCGCCCACCTCCGTTTCGTGCCACTGCCGCTGCCGGCCATGGAGGGCCTGCCGGAGGGCGCGGAGTCTACGGCCGACGTGCTGCCCGACAAGATGGGCCTCCTCAAGAAGGCCATGGACGGCCTTGCCGAACCGTTCGCGGCTTTCCTCGCGGACGCCGTCGCCGCCGGGAGGAGGCCGGACTGGATCATCCTCGACTTCTGCCACCACTGGGTGCTACTGCTACCCATCGCCGACCAGCACAAGGTACCGTGTGCGCTGTTCCAAATCCTCCATGCTGCCATTGCTGCCTTTTTGGGGCCGCAGTGGGCGAACGCCGCGCATCCGCGCATGGAGCCGGAGGATTTCACCGTGCCGCCCAAGTGGATCCCCTTCCCGTGCACCACCTTCTTCCTCCGCCACGAGGCTCAGTGGGTTGCCAGCGCCTTCCACGCCAACGCATCTGGAGTGTCCGACATGGACCGTCTCTGGCACATCTGGGAGCGTTGTCGCCTCACCATCCACCGCAGCTGTGAAGAACTGGAGCCCCAGATGTTCAGCCTCCTCTCCGACCTCTTCCGAAGACCCGCCATCCCTGCCGGGATCCTGCTACCGGCAGTGCCCGACGACCATGATGAAGACCACATAAACAGCCGCTCAGGCTGTGTCAGCCGTCCCAAGGTCCTACGATGGCTCGACGACCAGCCCCCCAACTCTGTCATCTACGTCGCGCTTGGGAGCGAGGCACCACTGACGCTACAGAACATCCATGAACTCGCGCTCGGGCTAGAGCTCGCCGGTGTGCGCTTCCATTGGGCTCTACGGAAGCCGGCCGGCACCAGCACCGGCAACGACGACGAGCTGTTGCCAGCCGGGTTCGAGGAGCGAACCCGGCTGCGCGGGCTGGTCTGCACAGGGTGGGTGCCGCAGGTGAAGGCGCTCGCGCACGGCGCCACGGGTGCATTCCTGACGGACTGCGGGTGGGGCTCCACCATTGAGAGCTTCGCCTTCGGGCTCCCGTTGGTGATGCTCCCATTCATTATTGACACGCCCATGATTGCACGGGCGATGGCGAAGAGAGGGATAGGTGTGGAGGTGGCGAGGGACGACAGCGATGGCTCGTTCGAGAGGGACGGCCTCGCAGTGGCCGTGCGACGTGTCATGGTGGAGGATGAAGGAAAGCTGTTTGCAACCAACGCCAAGAAGCTGAAGGAGCTTGTCGTGGACGAGGGGCGTCAGGAACAGTACATCCACGAGCTCGAGGACCATCTGAGGCGCAACAAAGACGTGTAATATAATTGCCATGCATCTGCACTTGTATGTTGACATGTGTGTTAAGAAAACGAATAAGCCTGTAAACTGTTTGTACGTGTAGTGTAGCATTGCCGTGGATCCACACCCTTTGCATGCGCATGGCCCCTCTTCCTGTCCTTTTTTCTGCTCACTACACATGCATGCCTACATGAACACATGCATGCATACATCATCTTTCCTCTCTCCTCAAAACTCATTACTTTTAGTTTTTTTGACAGTTTAGATGGTTCATATCTTAAAAATAAGATTTTTGTTTTTGAATTTTTTATATATTTGATCTTTCGGCGTTAAGATCTTTAGAACAAGATCAGTCTTGCATGAATTTTAAACACATTTTTGTTAATCGAAATTGAAATACAATTTTATAGTAGCTTATCAGTGTTTTTAGTGAGGAACTTTGCTGGAAACAATGAAGAACTTATAATTTTTATTGTAAAGTTCTAAATAAGTAGAACCAGGAGTTGAAGAACTTTCTAAATATTGGGTCTGCACTTTGTAAGAAATACTAAAGAACTTTTCCAAAAATGTATTTGGACCTGAAGAATTTTATGAACAGCTTGTTTGAACTTTTATGAAAAGTTTATGGAACTTTGTTAGAAACATATAGATATTGGACTTGTTTCGTAGAGCTGGTTATGATAAACTCAAATACATAAATGAATTTAAATTTTGCACAATTTATATAGAAGTTTCTCTACCAACATGGTGCGGTAGCTAATTAGTACATGGGGCTGAACAGGCTAGTGAGATTCTTTGTACCCGACCATAGGGTCAATTGATTTTTTTTAAGAACTAGGGTCAATTGATTTGACCTGCATGCATGCTTGATGGATGTACTGATTTCACATGCATGCATGCTTGATGGATGGACAGGATATGCGTTGCGCGCGCAAGCAGTTAGACAAAATCCAGTGCATGGGACGCATGCATTAGGCAATCTCTCTCCTCCTATATTTCTTATACTGCATCCAAGAGTAACTTCAACCCAAACGGACGCACATTTCATTCAATTTTTGTCTGTTTGGATGGGAAAAGCGGACGAGATTGCCCGCCTTTTAGTTTGGATCGGCTGAATCTTCCAACGGATGGCTGATGCATTTTTTCCGCATCCACATAAGTAAGCAATTTCGAAAACATTCGGCCAAATTTAACATAATTAATCAGTAAACGGCCGGTCAATCAGGACCAAAGTACACTTAAACAATAATAAAACATAGAAGGAACTAAAAAAGCACCTACACGCTGCCTTAGGCATCGCCCTCCTTGTCGTCATCGGGGAGGTCGAAGAAGGCTAGCGGTGGCCCAGCCCATGAAACTGCGGTCTCCCATGCCGCCAGCATTGACTTCTCCGGCATATGCTTCGGTGGCGGCAGTGCTGCGTGGTGGGTGCGCTCCTCCACCTCCTCCTGCTCGTGGCGCATCTCCTCCTCCTCCCATGCCTAGCGGGCACGACGCTCCTCCTCCTCGCATTCGGCCTGCATCTGGCACTCGGTGTCGGCGCGCACATTTGCCAGGTGGAGTTGCCACCGGTGCTCGAGGTAGCACACCGGTCCACGCGGAGGACAGCGGTCAACGCGTGCCTCTTCGGCTAGGGCAGCGTGGGCGTGCGCTCTGGCTCGGCCTTGGGATCGGGCAACGGCGGTGGGGGTGGGGACGCAGTCCCCGGCAACAAATAGGGCAAGGGCCTCCTCCAGGCCATCGTCCTAGCGGGCATCCTCCTCGCGTTGGCTTTCCTCCATCGTGTCCTGAAGTGCCGCCTCCACTATAGCTTGGTAGGCGGCCTCCTCCTCCTCTGGAACTAGCTCCGCGGGTGGTGGCACAAAGAGGGGATTGAGCTGCATGCTATTGCGTGGTGAACCAGGCTTCCTAGCTCGGGGAGTTCGAGCCATAGGCAAGGAGGTGCCGCTGCTCTGGCGTCAGGAGGGCGCGGCGATTGCGCACCTCCTCCGCGTGCGCCCCTTGGGGAAGTTAACAGCCAATCACGGCAGTTGCTGGTGGTAATGCCAGTGCCAGTGCGTGCGGTGCACCCGGATATGCAGCCGGTGCCGTGGCCGGTGACCCCTGGCCACACGTGGGATGAGCTCGAATGCTGCCGGGGGGCAGTGGCGGCGATGGAGGTGGCGCGTGGGACGAGCTAGCATCGGCGTGGACTTGCCGAAGAAGCCCATGGCGAGCTAGGGTTTTGCGGCCGCCGGCGATGAAGCAAATGCGGCCAGATGTGGACGGGATGGAGAACTGGATGAGCCCCCCCTCCCCGGCACGCTTGCATTAAAAAGGACGACGACCCAGATGCTTCCACATGATGCCATTCAGGCCTGAGTTACGTGGTCGCATTGAATACGATTGCGAGTGGCAGTTGGGCAGCCGGCGGGCGGGGCCGCGGCGGACACCTAGCGGATGCAAGGCCTACCCGTCTCGTGTCCGTGTGGATACAAACCGGGCGCAAATTTGGGTCGGGATGCGTTCAAATGGGGAGTGAGAACACACATTTTTGGTTTGTGTTTTCGCGTTCCACTCGGACTCAAATGGACACGGGCGGATCATTTGCGTCGCCGCGTTAGAGTTGCTCTGAGTGCAACTCCAACGTGACCAATGTCATATGTTAATGGACGTGGTTTTTGTCTGTTTTTCATCCATTTGAGTCGGCTAGAGGCGCGCTATCCATCCACGGCCGTCCAAACCTATCTAGTGCACCCAACCGGCTGACGCACTTTCGTCCACGCGACCGAATTTTTTGGCAAGCAAATTAATGTAGTTCATGCCAGCGAGCACAATTCATACTGGCATACGTGCCAGCGGTCAGCTTACATGCCAGCCAAAAAAAACAGCATAGTTCTAGCTAGCGCACTTGCCAACGGTCGACACACTTGCTAGCACATAAGAAGACAGACCTATTTATATCCACGCCATGCATCTTGACTCTGGTTCATGCCGGCACAAATGCTGACATAAAAAAAGATGGTCCTCTCGGCCATAGATCAACCATCAAGCTCGAGCATCTCCTTGTGGCTGTTCTCAAACTAAACCCTTCTCTTCGAGGACAACTTTCTCATGTCGACCGTCATGATCTCCGCCTCCTTGGCCATGAAAGTGAGCGCCACCTATTTTCCTTTTGGCTTCTCATTAGTCTGTTCAATCTCGAGCTTCTTTCTTTGGACGTTCTCCTTGGTCTTGAGCTTCTTCTTTTGTATCTCGATGTAGCCCTTCATTTGTTCCTCTTTTTCTTTTGGCTTGCTCTCCTCCCTTGCTTCATTTTGAGTCATGAACCCTTGCAAAGTTTCTTGCAATGCAAATGTCGTTGCATCGCGCTTCTAATCCAACTTGGAGTTGGTTTGCCCCCTCAATCGCTTCTGTCCTTCGACATGCTCAACGATGGCCTACGGCCCTCCATTAATCTTTAGGGAGGCATATTGGTCCTTGAACATGGGGCAACCATTAATGATCATCCAACATTGGGTGAGGGTGAATGGCTTCTCCCCATGTTGGGCCTTGAATGCTTCGAAAGCTTGGTAAACAAACATGAACAAAGCAATGTACATTTATATGCAAGCATCAATCAATGGACATCCAATGGAACCATCAAGCAATGGAAATGAAAATGAAGGAGAAGGATTTGTATACAATTTCTTCGATGCCTAGGCTAATCACGGGACGGCCTTCGATGCTCTCAAGGGTGGGAAAAAACATGTTGCATTCTTGGTAGATGAATCCCCGCCTCTTTGACAGCATCGAACCACGGTTGCTCTCAAACATGTAGGGCAGGAACTTCCTACGTTCATGAATTGTCTATGAACTCTTACCCAAAATGGTGATCCTTTTTGCTCCACGCCGATCTTGGGATCTTATCCGATGTTGCTCCAAGCCTTACAAATTAACATGTCCTCATCCTTTGTGTATGCCTTGGTCCGAATGCTTTGCCGCCTCTTCTTCTGTGCACTAGCTTGTTGAGTGAGCTCATCGGCAAACAAAGGCTCCCCCTCGATGTCCACATCATCTTCTTCCTCTTGACCACAGTCGTTTGGCCGTCGGTGTCATCAAGGATGAAGTGGTCGGTGATGCCCTCTTTGTCATGCGTGAATTGGGTGCGGCCATCTTGGCTTTGGATCTCGTCGGCATCCTAGCCATGGCCCTCGAAAATGTTCTCCAAGATGAAATCAATGGGCGAGTCATCATGTGTCGCCCTCAGGGTCGGCGTATTGTAGAACAGGTGGCGGGTGTCGGGAAGGTTCTCCCTAGGGATCTCCAAAGGTTGCTTCCTTTGCGTCCCGATGGATGACCCACCAGCCACAGTTGTGGCGTTAATGTCGATGGCTGTGTGCACAGGAGTTGTTGGCGTGACCACACTTCCTTTCCGCGAGATGTCTCTAGGCGACGTGAAGAAGTGGGATGGGGCCGTGTCATAATGGGGAGGGAAGTTGTGCATTTGAGGCCTGGTGGAGGTGCGCGACGACTCTGCCCGTGGTGGACGGGCAGCTGATGAGTCTGTGCTCGCTGCGGCCATGGCAGCGGCAAGAATGGTCGGCTTGTTACGAGGGTATCCTAGCATGGTGAGGGCACGTTGTGTGGCCTTGGCGAGGAGGTCCTCATTCTCCTTAATGACGGCCTCCTGTTGAGCGGTGGTGGTTTCTCTTTCATCGGCCAAGACCTTCCTCTGGCCAGCCCTCATCGTGGATAGTATGGCCCGTGGCTCCGGCATGAGCTCCTTCTTGGGAAGCTTCTTCCGCAAGGACTATGGCGGCGGGGGTTGGCGCGTCATCCATGGCGAGCGGGTGGATGGCGAGAGGGTGGGAAGGGTTTTGGGATAGATGGGTGAATAGGGTGGATGTGCCACCGATGGGTGGGCCAGGAGAGGACATGGTCACGCATCACGCACGTCTGCGCGGACTAAAACTCGTCCCTAATTTGGGCCTGAAATGGGCCTCCGGTGAACAAAAATCGGATGCGCGTCTGTTTGCGTCGGTGCACTGGCCAATGTTTCT